AATCCAATTTTAGCTACCGATGAATGGGAGTAGGAGCAGGAGGAGGTAGAGGAGGAGGAGGTGGAGATGGAGGTTGATAAAGAGGAGGAGGAGAATGAAAATGAGGAACAGCCGACCGATAATAGTAAGAGAGCACACAATATTTATTGAAATAATTTCACATAAAATTTTTAATTTTTTCTGTGTATATAAAACAATTAAAATTAATCTTCAAATTTGATTTCAGGAGAAAATACCATCGAATTAATTGATGTTAGCAGTGGAGAGGAAGATGATGTGGATACCGAGGAAAAGGAGGAGGAGGAGGAGGAGGAAGAGGAGGAAGATGAGAAAGTAGAAATAATTAAATTCAATTACGGCGAAATTGAAATAATCCTTAATTTATATTGATATATTTATTATTATTATATTGTTACGTTCGCGCACTCACAAAAAATGAAACAACACACGTTTAAGAAAGAACGTAAACTTTTAATTATAAACTCAGAGATTCTTTCTTAAAACACAACGTGACATGTCCTCGCAAGGCGAAGGCTTGAACATGACAACCACAACACACTTGTTTACAATCGTAACCAAGAGACATCGATTACTAGTTTACACAAGATACACAAGAGAATTGCAAGCTATTCACTTCAGCTGTTGCTTGACGGGGACGAGACACCCAGTGTCACGGACATAACACTGCTCCCCTTCCTTTAAGAATTGTCGTCCCGACAATACATCATTGAGTCTTCCATCTTCTTCAAGAACTTCATGTTTCATGTTCTACCCTGAGCTGTTGCTTTAGGTTACCGAACCTCATGATTTCTTTTCCAAAAGAAGAACTGACTCGATCAGGACTGCTCCCAGGAATTGGTGTTAAATCTTTCTTTGCCACAGCATCTACTTGTCTTCGGACAAGGGGGGGGGGAATAACTTATGTGGACCCATCATCCAAAAGGATTCCCCAAGTCTCCACCTTGGCATTTGCCCAGATATAAAATCAGCCCCGTGGAAAAACCACAAATCAAAAAAACTACGGGGAAGATGGTCTTCTTTTTCTTAGGCACTGTTATAATCGCGAATGGTACCAGCGTTTTCGAAACACTTCTCGAGGAATTGTTTCAATTGCGCCACAACAAGCAAGCGATGTGCAAGTGCTGCGATAAGCACCACCTTGCACATTCCGCATTTAGGACCTCAATTCCAAACGCATGACACCATTACCAAATATGGTAATGTTCTTGTCGCCAGGCACCCCCTCCGACAAGTCTAAAACAATACTATAAAAAAGCGGAGAGACCACTCGCG